TTGTGACTACAAATAAGGAACTAGTGACCCCATTGTCTGACATTTGCTTTTACTCCAAGTTGCTGAGCTTGTCTGCCACACATAATGGTCCCTGGTTTTTCCATGCATACAGATCGGTGGAACGCCTACTTCCTCTGTGATTTCAAACGTGTTTTTTCTATGTTGTTTTCTGCATTTCTATGTTGTTGTCACCTCTTAATAGTTTCAGATGCTGATGAATGTGTGAAAAGTCCTGGGTTGGGCTATTAGTCCCGTCCTGCTCTGAAAGCTTGGAACATGCTTTGTTTTTCACTGTCCATTGGTCCTTGGGTCCAGTGATGTTAAAAAGGAGCGTTGGAGGCCTGAAGGGGGATGTGGTGACTCTTCCCCTCCTGTCTCAGGGTGCTAAGTCGGCTGTGCGATACACCTCCAGTCTGCGTTTCCTGGGGCCAGGAATCCCCCCGGTGACTTTGGGAGTAGCAGGATCACACCAAGGTTGCTGAGAGCAGATTTTGGCAAGGATTGAATAGATTGGGTGAAGGCCAAAACTTCCCAGTCTGGAGGTGTCTCTATCCAAGTGGAGTGGTTAAAGCAAGGTTTCTTACTGCTGTCCTCAGTAAAAAAGAGTTTTGGATGAAAAATGACTGTAACTTTCTGTACCGTTCAATTCCACATTCTTCACGAATGCCGATGTGTAATTTAATCATTATTTTAAAAGTATTTTACAATAATGCATTCTAAAACGAGGAAGCAGATATTATAGATCATTGTATGTAATTTATTTGAAAAGAGGAGAATCCTCAAACCTTCTATCAACTGTATTAACCCTGAGTCTTTACTTTTCTTGGGGTTTGTGGTAAAAAAATAAATCCAAGAGCATTGCTCATGTGACCAGAAAATTTGGACGCCGCTTTTTCTTGACAGAGACTTCAGAAAGAGACACGTAGAAAAGGCTTTTCAAGAGCAGGCTGTATTGACCTAGCAGAAATCCACAAAGAAGGGTGGGACGATAGGCAGTATTCCATCTCTAGCAATTTGGTATTGTTACCAATTTAGTGGGTTTTAATTACTGTTGTTAGGTTCTGCCCAGATGTTCAGAATGAATAGGCTGAAGTCAGCCTTTTCTCCATAACTGTGGTTGAAAAACTGCTGCAGGCTTTCAAGCACTCACAAGAATAAAAGAATCAAAGAAGAAATACAGATGCCATTACCCAATCTTCTGTCTTGCTCACATCTTTTGTGTACTTTAAACTTTATAGGAACATTTGATAAAAGCATACAAAACTATTCAGAACCAGAACCTTTAAAGGTTAAATCTTAAATCTGTATTGCCTTTTACCTCATCTGACAAACGAAGACCGTTTTATATAAAATATATTTGGGAGTTGATCATAGAAATACGAGTTTCAGATTAACCAATCTTATTCATAGTTAGGTAATGGCTTCTAATTCTCTTTCTTGCAGATAAGAAATAACAGTAGTTACATTCCAAAACTACTTTTCATTTCTGCTCAGGATTAAAATATGTTCTCCACAACCATTAAAGTGATTTTGAGAATTGTTGAGTAATCCTGAGGACGTATCTGTGGCCACGGGAGGGGAGAAACGCTTGTCCTGTCAGCGTCACCACAGAGGTGTGATGTTCTGTGCCTGTACTAGGGGAGCAGCTCTGCACAGGGTGATGGGGTGACTACACCCCGTAGGAAAGGCAAAAAAAGAAGATACCACTAAAATCAGCTACTTGTGCCCTTTGCAGACCGTGCAGTCCGCCATCCTTTCCAGGGCATCACAGAGAACGGTGATGGTTACCTGTCATGAATTCCATCTTGTAAAAACAGGAAAGCTAACACCGTTTGAGTAACTCTGCCAAGACTGAACCATAAATAGCCCATGGATTTTTGTGTGATATTTTAACAATTTTGAATTTTAAAACCTGCTAAGCAAATGTTACAGTGTCTGTGTTAATAGAATTACATCTGGGGAAATACCAAGTGCTTAAAGGAACTGTATTTTTTTTAAGACAGTAAACCAGACTGTAACTGGGTCAAAATAGTCAGATCATTTTCCGTTTAAAGACTCCCTCTTGTGGAAATCATTCTTACTGACTTGTTTTGACCTATTTTTATAGTAAAATTCGCTCCATATAAGGTATTGCAAAACTTGAAAATGGTTCTGTTGCATGGTGTTATGTGTTTAAAAGTTAGGACCCTGACAATAACTGACAGTAGTCATACAACTGTAGTAGATTGCTAGCAGGTTTTATATCTTTCTATTGAGTCCTCGCTTTTTACTACTCAGAGATTTACTTATTTATATATTTATTATGTAAATGAAAAAAAAATCTAGTTGTTTTTCATCTGTGTTTTCCACCCCGTGTAAGAGGCTTCTGCCCAGATGACGTGGAGTGCAGCATCCAGTGCCTCCCTGGTAGGGGCTGAGTAATAATTAGGGGGGAGTGATTCACGGAAAGCAGTCACTGCAGGAAGCAGAGGATTCCCTGTATATTGCTACACTGAGAAAATGGAATTAGTAGTATCATGGTAATGGAGATGGAAAATGCCCATTCTGGACAGATATTTCCGTAGGAATGCTATTCTCAGTGGCACGCTGCCTTATGGGAAGGGGCAGTTTGAATCTTGGACACTGACACACAACAGAATTTGATGCTTTCCATAATGTGTGGGACTGAACTAAAATCCTCATTGTCCTCTAGCAGTCTGTTAGGAGAGGAAATCACATTATTTAGATTCAATGTCTAATATGTATTTGGGCAGGAAGAACCATTAGCTCTTTTCAATCACACTTAAGCCCTAATAAACTCTCAATTCTAAAATAAGTAGAATCCCTCCACTTGCTTTAATTGAAGCTCTTGGCTTTTGTGGCACTAAAGCTGACAAAGTGTCCTGTTTGTTCTCAAGAAGCATAAATCATTCACTGGAAATGCGCTGTGTGGCTGCCCTCTAGCAGCTCTTGTGGTAATTTCTCTTTAAATAGAGATGTAACTACATTTAACAGGTCTGTAGGCCCTAAAGCTTTCCAAAAATACCAACCTCAAAGGAGTTCTGGTTAAACACAGTGTAAAACTGAAAATCTGAATATTAATCTGGAATACCAGGAGTCTTAATTTTGAACGTCTGACCTCACTAAATGTTTCTGTAATTTCTGTGGTCATGTAATGGAAGTTTGTATGTTGAACTGAGAATCTGGGTAAGTTTACTGAATTGGAGATACATAAAATCCTACATATTTTTCATCTCCCGAACCACTGAAATTTTTTTTTAATCCCATGAGCTGTGAGATTTGTGCAGCATCTTGCATTTTTAGGTCTTCAGTATTGCCTACCACAACTGTTTAAAAAGCCTGTTTAGAAAAATCAAAGCCAAGAGTAACAGACTGGTTAGAGCAGTTCACAGGACATTGTAAAAGAAACATGATACAGTATTAATTTTACTGGAAACTGGAAAAAGAAAGAGAGCTCTTTACATTTCCTTAGAGATTTTGGATATTGGACTATGCTGTCCTGTGTACCTGTACCTGGCCAGGCTATTCCTGTTTGTATCTTCCCCAGAACAAATAACGGTGCCTCAGTAGCGATGAGATTTCGTCGTTCAACGTAATCCTTCTGGAGAGCGTGTGAAGCACCTTGGAGTCTTTGTCCTTATCCTTTACTAACGTTCTTGGTTCTAGGGATTGTCTAAAAGCAGAAATTAGAAGATAATTGTAACGATTCGGAGGCAGCTGCAGTGGTGACTTCCGAGGCGGGGATGTCGAGGGCCACGGGGCAGGACGCTGTTCGGGCGGGCTGGGGCTGCCGGGCGGATCACTTCGCTTTTTCACCCTGAAAAGCTGGGAAAGCCAGGATTTTCCTCAGCGCTAACGCGTTCGCTCGCGTACGTGTCCC